CAGGTTCATCTTCCCCTCGTGTGGCAGGTGGGAGTACTAACCCAGGCGATATGATTTTAATAACAGCACGTGAGAATCGTGCCTTGGCTGTTGTCAGGAGCATTCTCACGCTAAGGCTTTGAGCCACCAGGGACTGGGCACAGCAGGGGTTACCACCCCATGGTACAGCTGAGGAAACTGAGGCTCGGGGGTGAAATGACATGACCGTGGTCTCAGGTAGATGGCAACACTGCCAGGGACGGGGCCCCACGGGTTTTGAGGCCAATCAAATGCCTTTTCCATGCTCTGGAACAGCTCAGCCTAGCAGGGGAGATAACACAAGTTCATAAGGAAACAAGGGACAGTGAATCCTGTGTGTTCTTGGCACAGGGGCGTGGCCTGGGCCTCAGGTCCTGCCCCTCCTCCCCCACTGCACCTCCCACTGCTCAGGACCAGTGGCCAAGGGGAGGAACTGGGGATTGTGGCCCCTCCTGCTGCCATGCTCTGGCCCTGAGACCAGAACCACGGTCTGCCGGTCCAGCTGGGGCCTGGGGTGGGCCAACAGAGGGTGGCAGCTCTGCCACTGTCCTCAGTGCCCGGAAGCCTGAGGGCACAAGGACTGGCTGCCTTCCCAGAAAATACAGTTCCCTGTCTGCCTGGCTGTCCTTGAGCCCCGGCCCAGCTCTGTCCCGTGGCAGGGTCCGGCAGCATGCAGGGCCCAGCAGCAGAGTAGGCTCTCAGGCTGGGAGAGCCTCCCCATGGGGTAGGGCCCCGGGCCACCTCTCCTGACCCACATTGGGTCTGTAAGAGAGGCCCCAATGGCAGCTGGGTTCCCAAGCCAGGCCCCCACCCCCGGAAACCGGGATCCCAGGGCCGCATGTGGCGTCATTCAGAGGAGGAGGTCAGTCTCTGGAGAACTCAAAGGAAGCACTTTGTTTTCAGGGAAGAAGAAAGAGCAAGGGTCTCCTCCTTGTCTTGGATGAGTGAGTGGCCCTAGAATGGCCCCTCTCCAACCTGTCTCTGCCAGGGCAGGGGGCACGGGGTGGATGGGGCCAGAGTCACTGCCCTCGCCCCCTTCCCTCAGTGTTTGAAGTGTCCGGGCTCAGCACGGTTTGTGTAGTCGAGGTAGTTCAGGAGGAGACTTTCTGAAGCCCAGACCTGGCCACAGTGAGCAGGAGCTTTTGTCTCTTGAAGACAGTGGAAGAGGCCTGCTGGGGGAGGCAAGACCTACCCCGAGGTGTATGCGGTTTGAAAAAGCAAGACGATCTTGCAGCCAAGAGGTGGGTGTGAACAGGCACTGACACAGGCTCTTGTGACCGAGAGGCAAATAAAGGAACAATCCTTTTCTCAAGATGGCATGCTTGTGTGTGTGTGTGTGGGGGGGGGTAGGGGAGGGAGGGGTGGGCAGTGGACAGGACAGAGGCCATTACTCATCTCTGCTGGTTTTGAGGGTGGTGCACTAAAAAAACCTATGGGAAATAGAATGAATGAAAAGACCTGACCTGCTTTCTAGTCCCAGCTCTGCATGGACCAACAGTGATGTGCTGTAGAATGGGACCGATATTTCCATCATCTGCTAGGCTTGCAAAAGGTGCCCCACCTTTCCCCGGTGTAAGGAGGAGGAAGGGCCAAGTGGGATCTTGAATCATTCCTTCCCCACTAGGAGGAGCACTTGGCACTTCCAGAAACTGGATTCTCTGCATGGCAGGAGGAGAGGTTGGAGTGGAGCCCAGTCTGCCCTGCTCTGCCCCCCATCTTTCCCCCACTCCTGCCCTCAACCCCTCCCTCCAGGCTACCCTTAGGGCAAACATGGGAGCAGGCCCTTCCATCTCCCTCTGCCAGCCGGAGCCCTCTGCCAGCCCTCCCACCGCTGGCAGCCCTCCCCCGCTGGCAGGCTTTCACAGATTGAGGAGGAGGCCTGGCTGCCAGGAAGGGTGGGGCTGCCAGGCAGGCCCAACCGCAGAGTGACCCCACCAGTCCCGGAAACTCTCCAAACCTTGGACCTCAGCGGGACATCCGGCAGCTCAGCAACTCAGAGGGTGTTGGCCTGTCCGGGGGACAGAGCTGCGTGTGGGATGCCTCTGAGGTCAGTTGTTGGAGGCTTCCAGGAGGAGAAAGGGAGAGCCATGTTTGCTCTGTTCTGGAGTCAGAGGGCTTTGCCATGTGCTCACAGCGTTAGCAGAAATAGAGGTGCAGCCCTCAGAAATGCTTTATCCCCCAGATGCTACCATGGGGCCATGTGCATATCCTAGATTTATTAATTTTTTAAAATAATAGTCAACACTTGTTGAAGAGTGTTCACCACGTGCTGAGTACTTGCTAAGCTCACTACCTAAATGAATCCTTCAACAACTCCGTTAGACAAGACGGTTGTTGTGCTCATTTTATAAATGAGAAATGGAGGTTCACACGCTCAAGGTCACATATATACTAATTGCTAGAATCTGGATTCAAACTCAGGCAGGTCTGGCAGAGTCCAGACCTTGGGTTTTTAACTTTCTTGGAAAGCAGGAACCATAGCACACTCATCTCTGCAAAATGCCTAGTCCCTGGAAGGTACCCAATAAAGGTAAGTTGAACGGAGTGGGATGCATATTTTGTGGTCCTATTCTCTCCCATTATAGACTGATGAAATGACATAAAATATAGGAATGTACTGAGTTCAGCGGTGAGCATGGAGAAGGGCCACATAAATCTGCAGGTGAGGCCCAGCTTTCCTCCTTTCTACATCATGAATAATATATTTGTATTTCTTTTTATTAATAGGGTTCCTTTTTAAATATGTTTTTATTTATTTCAGAGAGGAAGGAAGAGGGAGAGAGAGATAGAAACATCAATGATGAGAGAGAATCACTGATTGGCTGCCTCCTGCACACCCCATACTGGGGATTGAGCCCACAACCCGGGCATATACCCTGACCAGGAATTGAACCCGTGAACTCCTGGTTCATAGGTTGAAGCTCAACCACGCCGGCCGGGCAGGAATAATATTTTTAGAGAACACAGCCTCCCCATGGGGGTGGGATGAGAGGAAAAAGAAGAGTCTGTGACTCTCTTTGAGTCCCAGATGCTGCAGGTTTGGGCGTGGGGAGAAGACACCTGCTTTCTTTGCTGATGTCGCTGAGGGAGCCCTCCTCTCCGGCCGTGGTGAAGATGACGTGGGCCTGGAAGCATGGTCTGCTCTGAGCTCAGAGAGACTTGGGCATGTACCCCGAACAGGAATTGAACCCGTGAACTCCTGGTTCATAGGTCGAAGCTCAACCATGCCGGCCGGGCATGAATAATATTTTTAGAGAACACAGCCTCCCCATGGGGTGGGATGAGAGAGGAGAAGGAAGAGCCTGTGACTCTCTTTGAGTCCCAGATGCTGCAGGTTTGGGCGTGGGGAGAAGACACCTGCTTTCTTTGCTGATGTCGCTGAGGGAGCCCTCCTCTCCGGCCGTGGTGAAGATGACGTGGGCCTGGAAGCATGGTCTGCTCTGAGCTCAGAGAGGCTGAGTCCTGCTGAATGGTCAACGCATGTGGGGAGCACTGCCTGTGTCATAGCACCGAGGGACGCCGGGGCTGCTGGGGTCTTGTGAGAGGGACAGGGGCCTTTGGCGGGACAGCTGGGCTGACTCCCGGTCCTCTGGTTCCCATGCGGAGTCACAGGTGCACTTGGCCTGCCTCCTCCTTCCTGGCCACTGCAGACCTGGCCCTCCCTCAGGGGCCTCCTGCCTGCCTGCCTCTTTGACGCTCCATAACAATTCCTGCGGTGCAGCCAGAGGCTACAGGGACACACTGGCCTGGATGGCCCAGGGCCGGTCAAGGTAGAGCTGTCCTATATTTCCATCCCTTTAACCCTCTCTGGGCTGGATCTCAACATTGACTTGGAATCAGTCAGAGTCCATGAAGAAAACAGAACTCATTCCAGAAACCTCAACAGAGGGACAACTAATGATGAAGGCACTGGAAGGGATGGCAGTGCAGACTGGG